GTGGTGATAGTTTTCATTCAACAGATTATTGCATAGTAAATTCAAAGTCAGAATTAGGGGTGTAATCAAGTCGAACAGATCTAAGCTTGGCTTTATCTGTAGAAAAGTTGAAGTTTTTGTTTCGTTCGAACTCAATGTACATATTCATGCAAGTTTTCTAAATCCGTATTTTCGAGTTTCGACCCTTTACCAGCTCGGCTCGACAAAAGTTTTAAGTCAGCTTGTCAAAAAGATAATTATAAATTGAATTTGCAGAACCTAATGTTGAATACATTTTTAGGCTAAGTTTTAATTTTGGTGGTCTTAACCTAGTGTATAAAGTTTGAAAAATATTGGCTTAAGATAAGAAAAGAAAATGAATGGGTTTTTGTCTTGACTCTACATTGTGTACTTTACAATAATTGTTATAGTAATTTTGGAAACGACATTATATACCTAATTTAAGCTCCTTGTTTGGTCTATTTAAGTTCAGTGTTAGTACTTATTGCTTGTTTGATCTATTATGACTTATTTTTGTCTTTCTTTTCTGTTTTTAGGAACCAAAAAGGAATATGCCTTTGATATATCTTTCAAATGCAAAGCAGTGGTGACTAATTGGTGCAACCTCAAAGTTGTCAGAGAAGTATTTGACAAACTAGACAATGCACATAAAGATCGATTTTTAGAGTCTTGCTTCCTTCCACTAGTAAATATTCCCGACCTCATATTGTCTTCGCAAATAGTCCACCAGGTACTTCGTAAAACATTGAAAGCGTCCGAAAACGACAAAGATGTTGTGTGGTTCAGATTTGGGGAAAAAGAAGCTAGATTCGTGTTACAAGAGTTTTGTCTTGTAACCAGATTTAAGATTGTGGAGGATGATGAAAATGCGTACGAGGTCCCTAGAAATAACAGTTCTCTTTTGCAACTGTTCAAGGAGAAACAGGGGAAGATCAAACGCAGTGACATAATCGAGAAATTTCATGAGCTGGATAATGAGAAAGACGCGGAGTTGAAGCACAAATTGGGACTTGTGACGGTCTTGGAGCATGTTGTTTTGTCTGCAGAGTGCGAGACTCTTGTAAATGAAAGATGGTTTTATTTAGTTGAAGATTTAGAAAGATTCAACAATTATCCTTGGGGCAACTTATCGTATCAGCAAACTGTAAAGTTGTCCCAGCGGACCTTTTTCGGGAAAGAAAAAAATCCAAAGTCCATAAAGTATTCTTTGCATGGATTTCTCCTGGCTATTATGGTAATTTTCATCTAAATCTATATTTATGTTGTTTATTATTCATTTGTGTTAGTTGTATTTTTAATTATGCTCTCTTATTTGCTAAGAAGATTTGGGCATTTGAGACGCTCCCCGACTTAGGAAGAGAATTTGTCGAAAATAGAAATGATCTCCAATTTCCGAGAATGTATTGTTGGAAAATGGAAAAACAGTTGCGAGGCGACCAGCTTAATACTTTTTTCGACAGGGCGGAGGTAGCGGGGGTAATTTTGGTTACAATTTATTCTTCTTATTTATTGTTATACGTATACTTTAAAAAACTAATTATATTTCAATCAGATTGAAGTTCGACGAACGTTGGAACCCTGTTCATATGAAGTTGAGTCTTCATATTTGAACGAATTGGGTATAATTGCCCAGGAAGAAGATAGTGTCCGTCCAGATGAGGATGAAGAATGCACTGCGACCAAAGTTCAGGAAGAAGGCAGTTCATTATCTAAAGCTGATGATGATGATGATGAAGAAGAAGAAGAAGAAGAAGAAGAAGAAGAAGAAGAAGAAGAAGAAGAAGAAGAAGAAGAAGAAGAAGAAGAAGAAGAAGAAGAAGAAGCGTCTCAACATGATCTACCACAACCTCACTTTTTGGATGAAGAAAAGATCGCTACTATAGTGAGGAAAAGATCGCTACTACAGTGAGGAGAGTGGTGAAGGACGAGGTGAGAAAAGTTTTGAAGGAGGAGATGAACAATTTATTTGAGAGAATGAAGAACGAATTTTTTGAAGCAAAAGATAAACCATCTAGCCGTGGTACTCATGATGATCCAGATGTTGAGGTGGAGAAAAATGTGCGGGATAAGGAGACCGTTGAATGTGGTAAAATTATTACTCGATTATTATACATCAATGCATTATATTAATGTTCTTACTCGGTTATTAAAAATAATAGAACAAATGCAACATGTTATTGAATTACTTTTTTTTTCTCTTTCGCAGATACGATGAAATCACCGTCTCCGATGCCCGAGCATGAAATGGCTGGACTTCATGATGATGCGTGTATGTAAAATATAATTTTAATTACTACGTAATTTGATAGTGCATTGTTGTAAATAAATGAGTATTGATTTTTTTATTTTTTATTTTTGCTTATTGTAGGTTTTGCGTCATCAGCCATTGTTGTGTATCAAGATAGACCACTACCAACACCAGTGGAGATAGAGCCAACACCAGTGGAGATAGAGAAAATCGATGTAGACGATCCACTTGAGTCTCCTAAGGGGAGAGGGCACCATAAGAAAAGAAAGGTCGTCGTTCTATGTTCTCCGTGGAGGAATATTGAAAAAAGAAAAAAATTTGCAATTGTGACAGAGTACGACCCTTTTAGACCAGTGGATCCAGCTAAACTTGAAGATCTCCAAACGTGGTTGTCGAGCTCCCCTGAAAGGTATGTAATTGTGTTAATTTAATTGTGGACTACTTATTGTAATATATAAGGTTGTATGTCTTTGTTTAATATATTGATTTTTTTATGTAGCTTTGAGTTATCCTATGGTGGTCGAGCAGATAAAGATTTTTTTAATAAACTTGTGAACGATGGATGGCTTTCTACTGAGGTAAAACTATTTACGAAAATTTATTCAATATTTTAACTTTGAAAAGCATGATATTCGCTAATCTAATAACCATTATTATACTCTTAGCATGTAGATGAAGCGCTTTTTCACATTCAAGAGCGTGGTAAACAGTTCCTCACTTGTTTAGACAAGATTGTGTTGTCTTGGACATGTTTTTTGTCCCGTACGTGAGAAACTTCTTCAAGGACATGTCGAAGACTAAACAATTACCGAGGGCCTTGAGTAGATACGCGAGAGGGGAGATACCCAATAATGGAAAGTCGTGGACTGCTTGTACGAAATTATATGTTCCTTTCTGCAAAGAGGGCAATGGCCACTGGCTCGCGCTGGAGATTGATCTATCCCTGAGATGCATTAACGTATACGATAGCGAAACAAGTGTCATGCGGAAGGCAGAACTGGAGAAGCAACTTGAGCCCATTCGAGTTGTTGTACCGATGTTACTGATGCAGCTGAATGCTAACTACAGTGCTGAAAAGTTTGAGTACAAACGGTTGACATCTCCTAGCCAAAGCAATGGGTACGTATAATATATATTTTGATCATATTAGGTTTTTAACTGTAGTATAAAACTTGATAAAGTAATAGAATTATATACATTTATGGTGCAGGTTTGATTGTGGGATGTTTACAATCAAGTTTATAGAATTTTTGCATGCTGGGAAGAATGTAGAAGGCGTAGAGCAATCTCAGATTAGTATTTGGCGTGAAAAACTAACGACTGAAATATATGGTGCTCATTTTGATCCATGATTTGTTTTAAACATTCAATATATAATGGATTGTAGGGTTCTTTTGGATAATACATTTTTATATTATTTTTCATGTGTTATTCAATGTAACGGGTGGGCGATTTTTGAAGGTGTATTTTTTACGTACTTCCAAATGCAATGGTTAAAAATAGTATTTTATCAAAATCTTTATTTTTTAAGGTGTACTTTTTACGTACTTCCAAATGCAGTGGTTAAAAAATAGTATTTTTTAACGCAACTTTGCTCCCGAAAATAAGTCGAGGAATCGATTAACGAATGTACATTTTGTATGAAATGACGAATGTACATTTATTCGTTATTTTGAAAAAAAAAAAAGTTTCTTGTCGCGGGCAAGACATTTGTCGCGCCAGCGACATATACTAGTTTCATTATAACGACTATACAATCGTTTTTTATACAAAATAACGATCTATATTCGTTATTTCAAAAAAAAAATTGGTGTCACGGTCGCGACATGTATCGCGCCCGCGACAAGTAGTCGTTTAATTATAACGACTATACAATCATTTTTTATGTCGAAATAACGATTCTATATTCGTTATTTCAAAAAAAAAAGTTTTTTGATGTCACCATACGTCGCGGCCGCGACGTCCTTAGCACAGGTTATGTCGCCCAATGTAAGGGCCCAGTGTCGCGATCACGACACATGTCGCGACCGCGACACGTAGTCGTTTAATTATAACGACTATACAATCGTTTTTTATGTCGAATTAGTACAATCTCGGTCAATTATAATGTAATCAAACTCGAATTAGTGTAATTAAAGTCAAATTAATCTAATTGAAGTCAAATTAGTACACTTGAAATCAAATTAGTACAATCTCGGTCAATTATAATGTAATCGAACTCGAATTAGTCTAATTAAAGTCAAATTAATCTAATTGAAGTCAAATTAGTACACTTGAAATCAAATTAGTACAATCTCGGTCAATTATAATATAATCGAACTCGAATTAGTGTAATTAAAGTCGAATTTATCTAATTGAAGTCAAATTAGTACAATCTCGGTCAATTATAATGTAATCAGACTCGAATTAGTGTAATTAAAGTCGAATTAATCTAATTGAAGTCAAATTAGTACACTTGAAGTCAAATTAGTACAATCTCGGTCAATTATAATGTAATCGAACTCGAATT